ATCAATTATCTTAAACGTACTTCTTATTTTACAGCTGTATGGAAATATCATATAGTGTGACCTAAGTGGGAGGAGACGAGGGGGTGCTTGCTCTTCAATTTTCATTTCCATCAGTCTCCTCTACCGATATGGAATTCTCATGGGTGTCTTGGAGCAAGTTATCTCCTCAAAAAAAAGAAAAGAAAAAGAAAAAGACAATTGTTGATGGGGTGGGGGTGCTGGAAAAATCTGGGTTGCGATGCATTACATCCCTAAATCTATGTACAGAACATTTCTGCAAAAAGTTTATTTTTCCGACCAGCTTCATTTTCATCTTTGTCTCCTTCTGTTGCAGGAAAATGGAAAAAATGAGAAATGGTAACTGCAGTGCACGGCAGCTGAGAAGGAAATCACACTTAAAACCATGAGGGACATGTAGTATTGACACTGTAATTAATACCCAAATTGTTTCTGTAGTTTGGAAGCTGCTCCACATGTCTTTTTTTTGGCTTAATCCACCGCTAAACATGATTACTGGAACAACTCCACTTGCTCACAGATTTTGTTATGCATAAGGGTTCATAAAGTGGGGTTTCCAAAGAACCGCACCATCCTTGAGTGAAACACAAAAACGCATCTGAGAAATCCACTTGTAGACTGCAGTCCAGTGCTGTAGCTTCCAGTCAGAAACATGAGGTGAGCAAATACAGCCAGCCTGTTTCTCTCCTGCAGGAATCTTTGGCATTGCCAAGAAACGCTCGTTGAAATGATGAAAAGTGACTCATCCACAGATGAGAGCAACCGAGGAAGTTGCTTTGCTTTTTCTTCTTTGTAAACTCTCAATAATTGACAGTCTGTGAAGATTTTATTAGTGACTTCATAACAACAGGTCCCCTTTCCTGCACCTTCACAAATGATTTTATTTAATTTAAATGTACACAAGAAATCCCTCGTGCACAAATCAGACACAAAATATTTTCCCACTCACTGTCTTGTTTTCTCAGGCAAAAGCACGGAGCATTGGCAAACACAACAGCCTTCTTTTGATCTATACTGCTTATTAATTCAATCTGCTTGTTTGTCTGCCTGTTCAGCATATCCTGGTGGAAAAAAAGTGAAGCAAGCTCTTTGTTTTGTTTTATATGAGCACTTTTCACCCTGGATGACTAGGCAAGCATCTCATCATTGGTTATTGTGCTGCAGCATGTTCACTGACAAAGACATCAGCATGTGACTCACTCCTCACTCTCCTACTGTAATGAGAGCTCTTCCCCAGCTGGTGCTGCAGTCGCTGCTGTTGCATGTATGCTGGCACGGCAGAGCCGCGTTTAACCCTCTCACAGAGGGGATTCGGCTATGCAAATTTAGTTTCTTTATTCTTAAGGAGGAAGGCGTACTTCAGTTTTTGTCAGCATAACTAAAAAAAAAAAAGCACATTCATCAACCTGAGTCAGCTGCAGCATAGTGACACCAACAAATGCTTACAAACTGGAACATGCACAGAACCGGCTGGCTACAAGTAACAAATTAGCAGCTTTAAGAAATAAGTAATTCAAATAGCTGGGTGAAATGTTTGACATTTTAAATAAAACAAGCTGTTGAAGCCAGCTAAAATGATTGTAATTAATGTGCATGTTAGCTAATGTAATAGCTAACATATGGTGTATTGTACGGCTATTAAGGCCCCAGTTTGAATTCACCCCAGGTTTACTGGCTGTCATTCCCCTGCTGTTTCTCAGCTTCCTTATCTTCTGTCTACTGTCCTATTCAATAAAGAAAAAAAAATGAAATGATAGAGATTAAGCTACATACTAACCTTTATTATAGCGGTTAATAGACAACAGAATTAACTGTTAGCTAGTGTAAAAATTGAAAAGCAGTGGCTTGAAACTGTAAATACTAAAGGGGAATTAATCAGTTACTAAGAGTAGGAAAAAGTTGCAGCTGATGGTGACTTTGAAAGAAAATGCAAGTAAAACATCAAAAATGTAATGAATAACTGAAATAGCTGAGCTTAATTCAGGGAATAATCCTTTTACAAAAGTCATGTGATACAGCACAGGAAAAGCCGGCCAAAGATTGAGCTTGAGAATCTTGGTAAATACAGCCAAGCAATGATGCGATGCAGAGTTCTAATATTTCGATTTCACCATTTGCAAACATTTTCAAAACTATGTGTGATAAATGTAGTCTGTGGAGCAGTTTGTGATGCATAAATTGCAGATAATGCAGCACTTCCCAAAATCCTCACCCTGTAAACCTATTGACTATAATAGGAAAACTCATACTTGATGAGGCCACACTCAGCCGAAGGTATGATCTGGCCAGTCAGACTTTCAAATTTTCCTCCCTAGTGATGCTGGTGACCTTTTCTTCTTTGTGACAATACCAAAGAAGAAAAGTGCAGACAATCGCTTTTTGCCTTTTTACTAAATCACCATAAATTAAAGAAGGGACACAGTTTGACAAGTTAAAAGTCATGGAGATAGATTAAAAAAAATCTGCTTTTTTAAGCCAGCAGTATTAATATTTTAGGAAACAAACAAGTAAAGTGGTGTTTGCGGGCTGCACCACACCCGTTGTGCTCATCTGATACACTGTGGGGGTATGTACAACAACAACAACAGAAAAAAAAGTTGAGAGCCATTGATAATGTGCACCACAACCAACAATCACAACAGAATATAACATCATTGCTCTTCTTTGTCAAAGTGACTGCCGCAATAATAGGACACCATGTGGGAAATGTTAGCTTGTTCTGTTGGCATTTTGTTCACTGTGTGAAATTTTGAGCTGGGTAGGCTACAGCTCTGATGTTCAATAACCATAATGGTTGACAACACAAAGGGAAATGTACTTTCCTGCATGCAGCAAAGAGAATGGTGCAGTTATACAGATTTCAAAGCTGCTCCTCTGTCTCTTTCTGGCAAAACCACCTACACCCCATGACTCAGTCTGTGTTTGCTTTTGCTTTAAGAACAACTCAAGCATCTCAATTACTCAGCCAGTTCCTTCAGATTGTGAAGGGCTTTTCAGATATGAATCCAACTATAGAACTTCACATTACAAAAATCAGAGAAAGAATTTTTGCTTCAAAGAAAGGCCATCCTTCCTGATTTATTTGTCATTACATTTGAACATGTCTTTATTTGCAATATGTACATGTTGCCGTCACACAAGATAGGAAAGAAATCCCAAAGATAATGTAACAACATTGGTTTTCTTTAACGCGGCTTAAAGCACGACACGAAGAGATCACTATCAACCTGGCATTCAGCAAACTTCTTTGTTGCATGGATGTGTAGCTCATCACAATGAGGAAAAAAAAAGAATAACAGCATTAAAACTTACGTATTGTTGTAACACTTTGCACAATACCATGTTGCCAAACCATGTTGCCAAAGAAGCCAGCTAAAAACACATCATTTGAATGACACGCTACAAAACACAAAGTATCTTCATCGCTATCAGCAATAAAACTTTCTCCGTGAGATGAAAACAAACTTTCACTATAGGTACAGTGATGGTGATGTGTGCATACACTGCAATCAGTAGCTTGTGAGTTAAGTTTGGGACAAGTGGTCAAAAAGGTGTCAAAGGTTATCAGACTAAACATATACAGATACATTATCCTGTCTTCAGAACCCCTTAAGAGTGCACTGTGGTCTATTTCTGACTTATTTTAGTCAGAAGATGATTGTTTACCCATAAAGGCAGTCAAAGACAACATTCAAAAGAAACTTTGAGGTTTTTGAATTAAACTGCAGCTCGGACCCCAAACTTCAAGCTTCCTCTTGTAGAGAATATGTAAAGATATTCACTCGTCATTAGCACATGAGAACAGAGTTACATTTTAGCCTAAAAATTTCACAGAACCAAGGATGTGTGTAAATGGATTGTTTACTTGCCTGGTTTGACAGCAAGCAGTGACATCAAAAGTGGCTTATTAGTGAAATTAATGTGGTTGTGCTATTTTAGGGCTATGCTCCAGAGAATATGCATTCCTTCAGAAAAAGCCATTAATGGGAGCTAATTGTGCACCATAACTGTCAGGTATGACTAATGCAGGACCTGTGCAGGGTAGCAAAGTGTATATCATCCCCTCTTGAGGCTTCACTGCTTGAAATAGTATCTGCCAGACTTGTGTAAAAACACAAGCTAAAATATCAGTAATTAATAAGCCCTTCTTGCAGACAATCTGTGAACTTGTCTGTTGAACGTCTTCACCTTCAAAGTGTGAAGGAACAAAGCAAAATCTCCCCTGTTTTATTAGCTGGAATAAGGGAAAGTGGGAAAAGGCATTGTGCAAAATATGAGCCTTTTGGTTTGTTTTTTAATTTAACTCAGTTGAATTTATGATTAAGGAAAGCTCTAAATCAAATAAATGATCAGAGCTAAAATCAGGACTACCACACTTGGAAAAGTTTACATATATATATACATATATTAGGAGTGCAACAATACTCGTATCGATATTGAACCGTTCGATACAGTGATTTCGGTTTGAACAATACCAAATTTTTTATTTATTTTATCAACTTTTCTTCTGATGATGCTGTCTGTGTTAAGAGCTCAGTGGATCTGCGTTCGACTACTCCGCCTAGGCTGCACTGTCGAGTGCAGATCGACTGAGCGCAGCACAAGCTAGCAAGACAGAAGCTAAGCTCGTTGCAGCATGGCAACTGCCTCAACGCTACCCGAAATTGAACCTCCCCCACCCTCATTCTCTGTATTGAACTCTCTTTTCCAAAGATGAGTGATTCCTCGATCAGATAGATTTATTTGTTTTATTATATTTTTGTTGTTTCAGCAACATTAAATTTAAAACTGTACTTTTGAGTTAAAATATATATTCATAATTTTAATAAATGACAAATTAAAAAGGCATGAACATTTTTTTGTATCGAAAAAATATCGACCCGTGACACCAAAGTATCGAACCGAACCGAACC